ACTGCTAGAGATGGTGAGCATTTTTTCATGTATTTGTTGATTGATTGTATATCCTCTTCTGAGAAGTTTCTGTTCAAGTCCTTGGCCCATTTGTTGATTGGGTTATTTGCTTTTTTGTTGTTTAACTTTTTGAGTTCTTTGTATACTCTGGAGATTAGAGCTCTATCTGATGTTTGAGGGGTAAAAATTTGTTCCCAGGATGTAGGCTCCCTATTCACCTTGCATATTATTTCTCTTGCTGAGAAAAAAACTTTTTAGTTTGAATTTGACCCATTTGTTGATTCCTGGTTTTACCTGGCAAGACCCATTTTTGTAAATTCAGTAGCTGTATAGTATGCTTTGATTTCAAGTAGTATATGTCTCTAAATTTGACTCATTTTCAGTATCTTTTGAATGATTCAGGTTATTTACATTTTCAGGTAACTTTTAGAATCAGCTTATTCAATTCAACAAAGTACTCTGCTAGAATTTTCAATGGAATTTGTTCATTGATTCTGTAGATTAATTTGGGGGGATTTGTGTATGATTTTATTGAATCTTACCATATGTGGACATGGAAACTCTATTATTTAGGTCTTATTTTATTCCTCTCAACAACATTTTTGTATTTTTCAGTACACTGTTCAATTTTCACTGCAAACACAAACAAAGACACAAAGCATAATGGCATGGCAAGAATGTAGATAAAAGGGAACCTTTGTACAATGTTGGTAGGAATGTACAATTAGTACAGAAAACAGTATATAGCTTCCTTTAAACTATTATATGATCCAGCAATCTCATTAATGGGTTTATATTCAAGGGAAATGAAATCAGTATATCAAAGAAACATCTGCATTCCTATGTTTTTTGCAACGCTATTCACAATAGCCCCCAAATGGAAATAACATATCTCCATCAGCTGATGAATGAATAAAGAAAATGTGGTGTGGGGCTGGGGCTGTGGCTTAGTGGTAGAGCACTTGCCTAACATGTTCGAGGCCCTGGGTTCAATCCTCAGCACCACATGAAAATAAATAAATAAAACAAAGGTATAAAAAAAATCATATCAATCTAAAAAAATGTGTACACACTAAAATACTATTCAGCTATGAGAAAGGATGAAATTCTATTATTTGTGATAGCATGGATAGTACTGGAGGACATTAAGTAAAATAAGTGAGGCCCAGAAAGACAAGTACTATGTGATCTCACACATGGAGTACAGAAAAGTTGATCTCACCAAAATTGAGGGTAGAATAGTGGTTACCAGAGGCTGAGGCGAGTAGGGGAGAAGTTCTGAAGGATAAGGAAAGTTTGGCCAATGGTTCTTAAGTTACTTAGAACATCAGAAGAAAGAAGTCCTGATGTTCTATTTCACAGTAGGGTGAATATATATAACAATAATTTATTTCCTATATCAAAAAGCTAAAAGTGAGGATTTTGAATGTTTTCCCCACAAAGAAATGAGAAATGTTTGAAGAGACAGATATGCTTACCCTGATTTGAATATTAAACAAATTATACACATATAGAAACATCACATAGGATCCCATAAATATGTATAATTTTTATGAAAATAATCAAGGTTTATAGCAGCTCAACTCACAATAGCTAAACTACAGAACCAATCTAGAGGCCCTTCAACAGATGAATTGATAAAGAAATTGTGGTATATAAACACAATGGAATATTATTGGCCTTAAGAAGAATGAAATTATGGTATTAGCTGGTAATTGGATGAAGCAGAGAATATCATGCTAAGTGAAATAAGCCAATCCCCCAAAATAGAAAGGCCAAATGTTTTCTCTGATATCTGGATGCTAATTCACAGTAAGAGGGGGTGCACTAGGGAAGAATAGGGGTACTTTGAATTAGGCAGAGGGAAATGATGGGAGGGGAGGGGGTATGGGGGTGTGAAGGATAGTGCAATGAATTGGACATAATTACTTTATGTACATACATGATTACATGGCCAGTGTTATTTTAACATCATGTACAACCAGAAAAATGAGAAGTTATAGTTCATTTATGCATGATGTATCAAAATGCATTCCACTGTCATGTATAATTAGAACAAATAAAAAAGTTAAAATAATGAAATAATAATAATAAAGAAACATAATGGCTTCTAGACTGATAAGACTTGACTAAAACTTGATGACAATTTTGACATACTTAAAGATTAAGAATGTGTCAGTGAGCCATGAAATTGTTGATAAGGCAGAGTCAGTGAAATCAGAATGGAAGAGCACACTGGTCAACTACTTAATCTTTATATGCCTTAGATTTTTCACCTCTAAAATGGGTTAAATAATAGTATACTTAATAGGGTCATTGTATAAAACAAAACAGTACCTGGTATGTAATGAGACTTACATATTACTAGAGGGAGGAAATGTAATGGTCAGGTCAGTGTAAACTGTGCCATAGTTCTTTCTATTTCTCATCAACCAGTATCCTGGTCTACACATATCAAGTTGTTATGAAGTAGTCAGCATGAGTCAGCCTCTTGAGTCTGACCAGTTCTGGAACTCTGAGTAGATCAAGTTTCTCAGACTGTAAGACTGAAGGTCCAAACTGAACTGAGGTTGAAAGCATCAAGACAATGAAATCTAACAAGATCTCTGATAGCCAGCCAACTGCCTTTTTAGTGACACCCCACTTCTGGCATAATCTATTCATACTTCTAAACAACTTGGGGGCAGGTCTATGCAGAAGGAATAAAAAGACTAGAAAAAGTTCCTTAAAATATTAATAGGTGGTGTGCAAAGGAATTATGCTTTAATATTTTGTAAGCATGATTAAATGATGGTGAGGAGAAGAAAAAAAGAGTAGGTGCTTGAAGGGGGCAAGAGTAGAAAAGGATTCTGGGGCCCCAGACTGAGGGGAGGATGTCAGGGAGTTGGGGGCATTTCAGGGATGATCTTTCATCCAATATGTACTTGCTATTCCTGTGCACTGAAGACTTGAAGTGGTGCCTTACAGGCCAGTCATTCCATTTGCGTAGGTAGTGAATGTAATGGAAAATATTTGCCTGAGAATTCTGTGTCACTGTATCTAATTGTATCACTGACTGACTGACTGGCTGCTTAATCTGAAGTCCCAGATCTAAGGGGTCTTGTTTGTTTGTTTTGTTTTTGGTACTGGGGATTGAACCCAGGGGCGCTTAACCACTGAACCACATCCTCAGACCCCCCCCCCATATATATATATATATTTAAATTTAGAGACAAGGTCTCACTAAGTTGCTTAGGGCCTTGCTAAATTGCTGAGGCTGGCTTTGAACTTGTGATCTCCCTGTCTCAGCCTCCTGAGCTGCTGGGATTACAGGCATGTGCCTCCACTCCAGGCCCAGATCTGAGTTCTTGAGTCTTCCCTCCTTCTTCAGTATCCTTATCAAATATTTGCTGGTTTCTTTTCAAATTCCCTGGCTATACGCTAAATTGGACAGGGGAGAGGTGGTGTTGATAGTAGAAAAGAGGGAATTTATAAGGAGAAAGCAAAGTTGAGGAAATGAAAAGAAAATGCAAAATCACTGTGGCCTGGGGGCGGTGACTAGGGAAGGTTTAGAATTTGCAAGGTCAGTCATTCTAAATCTTTTACCCTGAGATTGAGAGAGCAGGTGGTACTTAAGCTGAGCCTGGAGAGGCAAGTAGGGTTTGGATAAGCAGGGAGCAAGGAGTGGGGGTGGGAACAGTAGACCGAGGAAGCAAAGTCTGGGGGGGCCCTGCTGCCTGAAGGGTTGTGAAGGAATCCCCAGAAGCCAGTAATCTGCGTTACCTGCAGCCTTCTTTCCCAGCCTCTCTCTCCCCCTTTATTTTCAGCTGAGTCTTTGTTGCCTCAGCCTTGTGACCTACGTGGGCAGTGGGGCCACCAAAGCAGTTATATGATCTCCAGCCCAGTCCTGCCAAGGCCGCCCTACGGCGCTGCTCCTTCCCATCCCGGTTCCCTGCCTGTGGCATTCGCTTCTTCCCAGCGCACCACTGATGCCTCCTTTGCCAAACTCGCAGACTCCCCGTTTTGTTTTGTTTTGTTTTGTTTTTTAAGAAATAAAGTATCTTAGGGAGTTCTTTCTTGTTTGGTTTCAGTTGGAGTGCGGAGTTTAGTCTGAACCTTTGGTAAAAATCTAAGATACAATAAAGACCCGGAAATCCAATTCTTTTAAGACCTTGAGCGCAAACGTGTCTTTCAGTTTTGAAGTTCCTAAACCTATCCTGCAGAAGAAAGAAAAAAACAGCTTCCTCAACATCCTGTGTGTACAGCAAGTGTGTTAAATTAAAATAGTCACTTGTAGGGTTTCGAAAATAAACCTGAGAGAGCACATTGCCTACTATGACACATTCTCCGCCGCGGGGCTGGCGGCCGAGCCCTGGGGCTGCAGCGCGCAGCTGCCAGGACCCGCAGCACCCGCCCCGCCTCCGGCTCGCGTCTCCAGCAAAGCGTAGGCGGCGCCGTGGCCAGCGACCTGCTGTCTGTGACCGCGCTGGAGGCTCAGGGCCGCCGAGGTCTCCAGGAATTGGGTGGAGGATGCCAGAGCCACGAGCGGAGGCCACACGGGACTAGGGTGGTAGCGAGCGTCTTCGGGGAAGTTGTGGCGGAGCTGTAGATTGCGGAGGTTTGACTGGCCTTGGCGTGTCGTGGGCTCTGAAGGCCGCCGGAGCCCGGAGTGCTACACCGGACCGGCCGGCCCCAGGCCGGAGCGGTGGGAAGGCTCTGCCGGGCCTGGCACTCGTGCTTCCCACAGCGAGGGTGCATCAGCGCTGGAGCCTCCTTCGTTAGTAGTCAGCAGCACTCCAGTCATTTCTCTGAGGGGATTCGAAACGTGGCGCGATGAGGAGCCGGAGTAACTCGGGGGTCCGACTGGACGGCTATGCTCGACTGGTGCATCAGACCATCCTATGCCATCAGGTAAGTGTCCGGGTGTCTCCTACACTTACTACTACACTACTCCTGGGATCACTGAGCATGTGGAGTGTGATAGACCAGACAGAGACCCGGGGTGAACCTTCGTGTGTGTGCATGTGAGTATCTTTAGCAGGTTCTCGTGACCCCTAGCTGGGAAGGCCAAAAAAGGACCCTTAAGGAAAGGTACGTGTTGGGCCTGGAACAGAACCAGAGTCAGGCACCCATAGCCAGGACCCCCTCTGCCCCCTCCCCCATGATGATTTCATAGTCCTGCACCCCCAAGCCACAGCTGGAATCCAGGAGTAGAGTTGCAAGATGTGTTGATGCTTGTTTATTGACGCCCCCTATCCCGGGTTTGGGCCTCACTTCCTTCCCTTCTACCCTACCACCCCCGTCAGAAAAGAGATAGGGAACATTTAGCCATTTTAAGACTAGAATATTGTGAAGGTCAAGGCACTTTGTGAGTATGTATACTTTTAATTGTATTTTTTCTACTTCTGTAATTACTACTGTATTTTTGTTGGTGATAGTTAATTCTTTCAAACTAGAAAAGTTAAAACTCTTAATAATGCCCTTTAATAATGCATTTAATGATGCTTTTAATAAATTTATTAATATTATTTAAGTACTTTAACAATAACCTCATTTCAGGCTTATAAGTAAGTCTTCAGCCAGTTCTTTCCCCATACTCAAGATAGCATTTGGAAATAGTGCAAACTTTCCATTACAAGATAACTATGTTCTGGGGAGCTAATGAACAGCAGCATGATAACTGGAGTTATTAATATTTTATACTTGAAATGTGCTAAGAAAGTAGATCTTCAGTATTCTCACCACACCAAAGAAAGATAACTAAGTGAGGTGATGTATGTAGTAATTAACTTGATTGTGGTAATATGTGAATCCAGATATCAAATTATCCTATTGTACATAGTAAATATATACAATTTTTATTGTTAATTATAACTCAATAAAAATGGGGTGGGGAGAGATAGCATTTGTCTGCAATAGTCAGAAGACGTTTCAAAACTTGAATGGGGAAATAGGAGAAAGATAAAAAATGCCCAATAATTCATTCCCTAATTTTGTTCCCTAATATGAACACCTACCTGACCTCTTTTTCTTGGTCTTACAGAATCCAGTGACTGGCTTGCTTCCAGCCAGCTATGATCAGAAAGATGCTTGGGTCCGAGATAATGTATATAGCATCCTGGCTGTGTGGGGTTTGGGCCTGGCCTATCGGAAGAACGCAGACCGAGATGAGGATAAGGCAAAGGCATATGAACTGGAGCAGGTACAGGAAACAAAAATACAAAGTGATCCAAAGCTGTATACGGTTGGGTGAGGGAGAGCAAGGATTGAAGAAAATGTAGCCCTTTCTTCACATCCTTGAAATTACATTCCAAAAAGTTTTCCTATATTGTACTAAACTGTTTCTTGGCAGTGGAGACTTGACACTTGTTGATTCAGGGAACGAGGGCACAGTCTGTTCTATTACCATGGAAAATCCTACCCTGGGATCTTAAAATTAATAATCTTCTTTCTAAGTAAATGTATTTTGCAGTTTCCACCATTTTATTCTCATGGACAAGAATGTTTGGGGGCAGATATATAGTACTTTACTTCATTTTTGAAAAGTATTGATGGTATTTTTATGAGGGTATCTGACACATCAGTAGACTTTTTGTACTAAACACAAGTACACTATTTGTTGATTTTTTATAAAAAATCTGTGGCCTGCTTCCTCCCTGCCCCCGACCCCAGCGGGCAAAATGAGGTCAGAGCCAGCAAATGCTTTTATGCCAACTTTTAAGGTACTTCCTCACAGTAAATTAGCATCCTTTTATAGAATAATTTATACACTCGGGGAAGTGCATCCTCTTGAATGACCAAAAAAACAGTAATCTGGGCTACAGAAAACTTTTTTTAATCCCTTTATCTTATTTATTTTTATATGATGCTGAGGATTGAACCCAGCACCTTGTGCGTGCTAGGCAAGCACTTTACCACTGAGCCACAACCCCAGCCCTACAGGAAACTTTTAATGTTGAGGTCCTCTGCTGCCAGTTGTAAGATATAGTGAGGTTCTTTCTACACCAACCATTTTTTACCATGGTCTCCCTCAGATTTAGGCAATCTGAGCTTAAGTATTCATTTATAAATCAGAATATTGATATTTGTTTTTTTTAAGAGCACCAACATATCATGGAGTTGCAATTCTCGGCAATAAGAAAAGTCTCACTGTTGTCCTCAGCAACAGCAGGCATTTGTTATTCCTTCAAGCCACTATTGAAAGATACTTATATCCATGCCCCCCAAAGCTAGGAGGTAAAGATCAATATTTCTATGACCTTTACAGAATTAATACCATTGTGGAAATTTGGAAAATACAGGAGAGTATTTAAAAAAATCACATGCAAATTACCCCACCTCAAACCTTATATCCTATTCTGAATATTTGCTATTTTGATTGCAATACTTTGTTTCTTTATTGTTTTGTTTTGCTAGAAATTAATATGAGCAGAACTGAAATGACATGCCTGGTACAATTTGACCAACTCTTTTCAATGCTTTAAAAAAAGAGATGTGTTTTCTCTCTGTTGAACAATCATTATGCAGAGTTGACATTTATCCTTACTGGGCCCAAGTAGAAAGAATTTTACAGAGGAAGAGAGGAAAAGTAGGGAAACATTAAATTGCTCATTCTGAAATTTTCATGATCCATTCTGTAACTTTTTAGAGTTTTATTAGTGTATTATAGTTATACATAATAGTAGGGTTCATTGTTATATTCATATATGCAAATAACATAATTTGCTCCATTTAATTCGCCAGTACTTCCCTCCCCACATTATGTAACTTTTCACATAGCTGAAAATATTTTTCACATCACCCCAATAATAACTTTAGAATGTTTCAAAAAATTATGGAAATAGGAATCAAATTTAAAAAAAAGTTTCTGTGGGAATTGTAGAATTCTTTTTTTCTTTCTTTCTTTTTTTCTTTTTTTTGGTACCAGGGATTAAACTCAGGGACACTAGACCACTGAGCCACATCCCCAGCCCTATTTTGTATTTTATTTAGAAATATGGTCTCACTGAGTTGCTTAGGGCCTCACTAAGTTGCTGAGGCTGGCTTTTAACTTCCAATCCTCCGGCCTCAGCCTCCCAAACTTCTGGGATTACAGGCATGTGCCACTGCACCTGGCAGAATTCTAAAATTTCTATGAATTTACATTGTAGATCAAAACAGATTTTATTATTATATCATTATTTTTTTCAAACTTGATTCAGCATCAATCTAGACCATCTCTGTAGAACCACGGATAGCAAACATTTTCAGCATTATAGGTCACTCATTGTCTGATTAACTCAACTGTGTATTTTTTAACACAAAAGAGCCAGAGATCATATACAAACAATGAACATGGTTATGTTCTAATAACTTTTTATTTACAAAACTAGCTATGGGTTGGATTTGTCCTTGATCTAGATGAGTGGTTCTGAACTTTGAATATACATTGGAATTATTTGGGAAGCTTTTTGGAAATACTTTTACTAGATCCCATCTTAGAACAATTTTTTTAAAACTCTGTAAGTAGAGATTATAGACATAAAATTTTTAAATCACCCAGGCAATTCTAATGTATAGACAGATCTAATGTAGATAAATCAGATAATGACTTTACTATGGGCAATAAATAAACATAAATTAAATCCAATAAATCCATAGGTTAAATTCCCACCTAAAGCCAACTTTTTGTTATGGTGTGGATTTTACCAAAATGATGATTGTTAACCATTTATGCCATTCTGACTCTCACCTTGGTTTTTTTTCTGATAAATAATGTCAAGAACTGAAGAGAATTCTAAGAAAAGTGTTTAAGCAACTTCCGTATTCTAGATTGAGAATAGAATTATGGACTTCCATGTTATTTGTTGTTATTTTTTGTGCTGGGAATTGAACCTAGCTGCTCTTAACCACTGAGCCATATCCCCAGCACTCTTTATTTTTATTTATTTAAATTTTTTTTAGTTGTTGATGGTCCTTTATTTTATTTATTTTTATGTGGTGCTGAGGATTGAACCCAGTGCCTCACACATGCTAGGCAAGTACTCTACCGCTGAGCCACAACCCAAGCCCCCCCCCATTTATTTTTAATTTGAGACGTGGTCTCATTAAGATTGTTAAGACCTTGATAAATTGTTGAGACTGGCTTTCAACTTGTGGTCCTCCTGCCTCAGCCTTTGGAGTCACTGGAAATACTGATGTGCACCACCAGGTCTGGTGGACATGTATATTTTTACAAATGTCCCTTTCTCTTGGCACATAGATAAATCTATAGCCATAAAAAATTATATAAATAAAGGTTTCTATTTGGTTGCCTCAAGGTTTCTGTTCTTTGTGTAGTCTATTATCTTTTTTCTCATTAACACTCACCTTTATGACAATCACTTCCAAAACTTCATCTTTAACTCTGACCTCCCTTTAATTTCAAGCCCCCTTTTTCAATTATCTGCTCATTATTTTTGCCTGTATATCCTGTGGCTCCTTAAACTGAATGTGTCCAAAATCTCACCTTCCCCACTAAAACCAAAGAAAATAAAATACCAAGCAATAGCACCTCACCAAAATTCCCTTTTTCTCTTAATAGTGTCTTCATTTTGCCAATCAACCTGGCAGCATTATTTGGAGTATTTCTCATAGTATGTTCCATTGAATACTAGGCCAACTAACTAAGGTTGAGGCTATGTTAAAAAATAGGTTTCTATACTCCTTAATTTCTCAGAGCCTTTGATGTACTTATGTGTGTTTTGAATCTAAGGTGGTAGTGAATTTTATAGTCTTTCTAGAATTTCTTGGACTAATGTTCTATAATACAGTGCTTAATAAGTACTACCTGTAAGGTGATTTTTAATTTGTTCTTTCCAGATATACATGACAGTAGAGTGTATTTTGTCATATTATATGTACATGGAGTATAACTTTTTCTACTTACAATCCCATTCTTGTGGTTGTACATAATATGGAGTTTCATTGGTGGTATATTCATATATAAACATAGGAATTTTATGTCCAATTCATCCTACTGTCTTTCCTATTCCCATCCCCCTTTGTCTAATCCACTGAATTTCCATTCTTCCCTCTGCTTATGGTGTGTTAGCATCTGCATATCAGAGACAACATTCAGCCTTTGGTTTTATGGGATTGGCTTATCTCATTTAGCATGATAGTCTTCAGATCCATCTATTTACTGGCAAAAGTCATGAAATCATTCTTTTTATGACTGAGTAATATTCCAGATATGCCACATTTTTTTAGGTTGGTTCCATAGTTTAGCTATTGTGAGTTGAGCTGCTATAAACATTGATATGGCTGCATTAATACAGTATGCTGATTTTAATTCCTTTGGGTGTATACTGATGAATGGGAAATGGAGATTTCAATCCTAGTTTTCTGAGGAATCTCCATATTGCTTTCCAGAGTGGCTGCACCAATTTGCAGTCCCACCAACAAGGTATGAGTGAAACTTTATCCCCACATCCTCGACAACAATTATTGCTACTTGTATTCTTGATAATTGCCATTTTGACTGGAGTGAGATGAATTCTCAGTGTAGTTTTAATTTGCATTTCTCTAATATGTAGAGATGTTGAACATTTTTTTCATATATTTCTTGACCGATTGCGTTTCTTCTGTAAAGTGCCTGCTCAGTTCCTGTAGGGTGATTTTTGAGTTGTTGCTCTTGCTTGTTTGATACATGCAAATGAAAGATAGTTGATTTTTTCAATTTCTCTATAGAGTCCATTCTCTTTCCCTTCTGCTTCAACCCTAACCTAAACCCTATCACCTAATAGTGTTGTGAAAACCATACTTACATTATGCTATTTCCATCCTTAACAGTCCTTCTGTAACTCTTTTTTTTCCCTACAAGTAAAGTCCAAGTTGTCTTGGCTGGTCTTGAACCTGTGTACCTCCTGCCTCAGCCTCCCAATTAACTGGGATTACAGGCATGTACCATCATGCCCAGCTAGTAGATTAGTTTTCAGAGATGTCCTGAAGTCACCTCTGAGCCAGCATTCCCTGAGGTAACCTGGTTCAATTTCTTCTGGACTGCAAACCATAAAACTTCTTAGAGAAATGGAGAAGCTGTTCAGTGCTGTGTTCTAAAACATATTGCCTACCCATGCTGCTACTCATGGGCCCTTCTGTTTTCATGTAGTATACAGTTGTTGACAGAATTTAGGGATGTTGTGATTGGAAAACAAACTATTTTAGAAATTGTCAAGGTTTAGTAAGAGATACTGATGATGAGGAGTTCATAGCCAGTCACAGTGGCACATGCCTATGGCAGGAAGATCACAAGTTTGAGGTTCAGCATGAGCAACTTAGTGAGACCCAGTCTCAAAATTAAAAAATGCTGGGGATGTAGCTCAGTAGCAGAGCACCCCTGGGTTCAATCCTCAGTTCCACACTCCCCCCCCCACCAAAAGAGGACTTAAGAAGCCTATGACTTTTTTTTCATGGAGAAGGAGTTGAGTCATACTAACAATTTCCCTTTATGCTTACTCTGAATTACAATTCATTCACTTTTTTAGGTAACATGTTCCGATAAACATTTCTATAGAATTTTAAGTTTTGGCTGGTTTAGAAAAGTCATGTCATGTGAAGCCTTTCTAGGTTATAAGATGTTTTAGAATATCTCCAGAGCTTTATGATTTCTTTTTAGTTGACTTGCCTTTTTCTCCAGGTGGAAGGAATGTCCTCTACTAGGATAGTTGACTTACTTTTACATAAATCTGTCATAGCATAGACTATTATTTTTTAACTTGAAGGCATCAGAAACTGTAGCTTTTGATTCCATTTTTAGCTGCAATCTGCCTTTCTGTGTACCTATAAAGTAAATGCCATGTGAATAGGAACCCAGGATAGGGTTACTTGTTCTCAAAAGGTCATGTACCAACTGCAGTTGCTGAGCAAGTGTTTTTCTCATCTAGGCATGTTTATAACAGTCTTGTTTCCATTTATTTCTGCAGAGTGTAGTGAAGCTGATGAGGGGACTGCTGCACTGCATGATCAGACAGGTAAGAAGTTGTGAACAACTTGCTCCCTAATAAAAGCACATTGTAACAATATCTCTACCCCTTAGGGAATGTATATGGCTTTTTTTCAACTTCACAAGTAGTATACTCTAATTTTAGAAAATTTGGAAAATCAATGAGAAAATGTCATCCATAATCCCATCACCAGACTCCCTCCGAGATATTTCATTCCAATCTTTTTTTTTTCTCCCTTCTACAAGGGATTTTTAAAAATGTGTTCCATCATTACCGTTCATGCAATTACATATACTTGGTAGAAGATAGTATAAGCCTAAAATCCCTCATCTGAACTCTTGGGGCCCTATCAATTTTAGAGTTAAGATTTTTTTCAGATCTTTAAAAGATAGTGCAATACATATACCATATATTTATTTTATTCCTCCAGTGGATTCAGGACAGCACTGTTTAATCAAAAACATACCTCTGAAGGGAAAAATGCCTTTTCACATCAATTGGAATAAAGTCCAAAAATAGCTTTATGTCAGTCTAAACCTGCACCAAATGAACTTTGATGCAAAACTTAAGTGAGATAGCCTTTCAAAGTGTTTTAGATTTTAGAAATGGATATAAAGAATTTTGGACTTCAATAATTTATAATTCCCGACCTTGAGTGAAGTTGAGCATCCTTTCATGTTTAGATGGAAAATTTGCAATTCCTTCCCTATAGGTCCTTTGCCTATCTTTCTTTTAGATTGCCTCTTTATTGCCTACTGAGGAGTTTTTGTACATTATGGACATCCTTTGTCACATGCATTGCAAACATTTTAACAATCTACTATTTGTCTTTTGAGTTTATGATATTTTCTTTGTACAAAAGTACTTTACTTAAAATTGTTTCATTTTAGATCTTAAAAATGTTGCAGACATTGAACCTGACTTAATTTTCTGAAGATCAAAGTTATGTTTCGTTAGAAGAATAATGGAGATCTAGATGGATAAAGTAATTGCTCGTAGACACACAACAAATCTAAAGTAGAAAGAAATTTATTCCATATTTCTGAACTTTCTTTTCAGTACTCTGTTTATTGGATAGTTATTATTTTCTCTTTCCCTATCTTTACTACTGTTTTTAAAATATGGACACAATATTTTATTTATTTTTATGTGGTGCGAGGATCGAACCTAGTGCCTCACACATACAAGGCAAGCGCTCTGCTGCTGAGCCACAACCCTGACCCTTCTTTACTACTTTTTTATACTTTAAATATTTGAACTTTCTACTCTAATAAATAGTTTTAATGTCTCTAATTTCCAAACCATATTTAAGGTATAATAAGTAGTATCATATGTCATAAGCATAAATATTCAAATCTAAGTTTCAAGAACTAAGTCTTTCAGTTGTCCCTTGCCCAGTGTTTCTCATCTGAACTTTGTGTGTGTCTGTGTGTGTGTGGGGGGGGATTGTGAGCTTGGATTGAACCCAGGGTCTCATGTATGCTAATCACATACTCTACCACTGAACTACCTCCCTGATCCCCATGTTTCCCTTCTGATCTCTAGTTTCAGCTTCTGTCATACCTGTCACTCTTTCTCTGACCAGTTCTTTTCATTACTACTTCAAAACATGTCCCCTTGACCTATTTTTCCTCAAAATCAATACCCTCCCACTTCCTCACACCAGGTGTCCCATCAGGAACAAATGTGTAAACTGAGTTATCTCTTACTAAGCTGTTCTTAATCAGAACATTTTGAATCTCATTTTATATCTATAATGTAGCAAAGCAACCATCTGAAGACTGAGAGGCAGTAAACAGGAAATAGGTGTTTTTGACTATTTGGCATTGTTTACTAAATTGCCTAAAATTGAAAAATTAAATTGCCTACATTGAAAAATAACAATAACGGACTTCCCCAATTATGGAAAAAGAAGTAACAGTGTATTTTAAATATTCATAATTGCCCAAAGACTGAGTACAATAATGTATGTTAGAGTATTACAGAAGTGTGGCATATAGGTTCATTTTTCTGAATATTCTTTTACTGTTTTTGTTTTATTTCAGGTGGATAAAGTAGAGTCCTTCAAGTATAGTCAGAGTACTAAGGATAGCCTTCATGCCAAGTACAATACCAAAACCTGTGCTACTGTAGTGGGTGATGACCAGTGGGGACACCTGCAGTTGGATGCTACCTCTGTATACCTGCTCTTCTTAGCACAAATGACTGCCTCAGGTCAGTACAAGGAGAGAAGTAGTGTAACTCCCTGAGCTTGGAGCACTTGCTCTGGCACACTTGGCTTCTCCAAAGGTATTGACCAAAAAAATAACATAGCTGTTGACATTGCTCAAAGAAGCATATTGGAAACAAATGACAGTTTGCAAATTTTATACAGATTCTTTGAGGACTAGTTAATGTTTTATTATATTGAGATATAATAAGTCTGGGGTACTAATTAATATTCTTTTAAAATGAGAACCAAGAAGTTTGAGGTAGATCTTCTTTAGATAGTTACTTTTATTATTTATTAATTCTTAGATACCAGGAAATGGAAAGGAAGGGCTAGGTTTATTTGTTGTTCTCATATTGTATGGATAAGCACCTACTGTAATACTCTTTATGAATGTTATGAAATACATCTATCTTTAGGGATCTGATTTATATTTACAGAATTGCCTTAGGGATCAGAATCCATTTTTTATTGAATTATACACTCTTTTCAGGTGATTTTGCTGTTAGATTTAGTTACTTGACATGGAAATGGAAAATGTAATGAATAATATAATTCCCTTAATTTATCCTACATTTGGAGGAGCAAGGAATCTCATTATATCAAGTATATGAATTTAATGAGACATTTGACGGATGATAGTGAGTCAGTTAATGTACTTCTCACAATACCATATTTTTGTATTTGTGGTGTGTGGGATGGAACTAAGAGCCCTGCAGGTACTAAGCAAGCACTGAACTATAACCCTAGAAATACCACATTTTTGACATTTCTTCTTATCTGATTACAGAGATCTCTAATACTAAGGTCATCCAAGGTAGGAATGCCCTCAGAATTCTCTTCTCCTTTTCTTGCAGAAACACATCTCTGGTGATAAACCCTTCTTCTTTTACTCTAGAACATATATCCCAGAGCCTGATTAAACTTTTCTCAAAATTATGAATTTGTTACCCACATAGTCTATCCTTTTGGAGGGAAATTTTTTTCTTGGATAAATATAAAATATTTAGGTTTTTGTTGTTGTTGTTGTTACTGAGATTGCACTCAGGGACACCTGACCACTGAGCCACATCCCTAGCCCTACTTTTGTATTTTATTTAGAGACAGGGTCTCAATGAGTTGTTTAGTGCCTCACTTTTGCTGAGGCTGGCTTTGAATTTGTGATCCTCCTGACTCAGCCTCCCCAGGGGCTGTGATAACAAGTGTGTACCCCCATGCCCAGCTCTAGTATTATTTTAATACCAACTCTGGAGTTATGTTTTGTTTTGTTGTTTTTTGCAAAGCAAACAGGTGGTTTTTCTTTTTTTCTTTCTTTTTTTTTTTTTTKYTCTTCCAACCGGGATTGAACTCAGAGGCACTCCGCCACTGAGCCACATCCCCAGCCCTATTTTGTATTTTATTTAGAGACAGGGTCTCACTGAATTGCTTAGTGCCTCTGTAAGTTACTGAGGCTGGCTTTGAACTCATGATCCTCCTGCCTCAGCCTCCAGAGCCACTGGGATTACAGGCATGTGCCACTGCACCCAGCTGTGGTTTTTCATTTTGAGCTCAGAATAAAAACAGAAACATACTGAAAAGGCTTATAAGAAAGTTTGTTGATTCCTGGTTTAACATTTGATTTTCAATGCACTCAGCTCACTTGATAGATTCTTGGAATAAGGTGGATGTTATTTGATCAGGTCTTTGATAAATAAATAGGAGTAAGAAATTCACAAGTAAAGGAATAGTACGAGTACCACATAGAAATTTGAAAGGTTCAGGCCATCAAAGTAAGGCTAGGTCTGTTCTATGTTTAGGGTGTAAATCATGTCTGGAAAATGGCAAAATATGAAGCTAGAAAGTTGGGCCTAGCTATCTGAGGACAGGTAAATAGTTCTGACTTTAGTCTGCAATCAGTGGAAAAACATTCAATATAGATAAAGGAAGTTTCAAATGATTCACTCTAGTAGCAAGAAGGATAGATTGGGTTGGGGAATAAAATTAAGATGGAAAGCTTGAGAGGAAGTTAGTGAAATACTTTTAGCAAGAAGTGATTACAGAACCTTTGTTAGGCAGTTGCCTTGAAAATGGAAAGTGCTTAAGTGAGATATAATTGGTAGAGTATGAAAGTTCTTCATAGACTATTTAGTAATACTATGCATGTTTCTGAATACTTAATCTGAACCTTGGTTAAGACAGAATCTGACTGCAACTTACATAATGGTAGTATAAAGAGCTTCATGGATCTTCCCCCAGCAAAGCAATCACAAATGCTAAAAATTATTTTCAGAAAACTAACCCTTTTAAGTAAATGGAAATTGTCCAAAGGACATAGAACAAGTGGAGAAACTCTCCAGCAAACGTCCTAAATCTTGGTAAAAGCAGTGAGGAACTGTGGCTTCTGAGTCTCAATCTACTCCCTCCTCCACTCCACATCATCATGACAGAATTATTATTCAAGGTAGGTATAGCCAAAATCCAAATCCTCCTCTACTCTCAGCTCCAGATCAGTGCTACTGTATGTCTTTAAGAGAGGTAGATTGCCATAATTTCTCATCCTCCTCACTCATGTTTTAGAAGCTCTAGTCCAAGCAATGTCCTTGTTTAGAAGTCTGGAGCTCACCTCCTCTTCACTCCTAGCCCCTTGTAGAATGGAATCTTTTCCCTAGGCAGGGTAAGGGGAGAATACTAATCTCTGATTGCCTTCAGTCCACCTCTCTATTAGGACAGATGTTTAACACTGGGAGAGAAAAGCTGAGAAGCTCATAGGCTACCACTCGTGCTTAGTACTCAGTTTGTAAAGAAGAAATATCACTCCAAAAGGTATGGACTACTGTTATCACCAACAGTTCTGGACCACTGGCTTAGGGGGAAAGGCAAACTGTAAGTACCAAACATCTTAGCTCTTCCAAAGAGAACTGACTTTTTTGGAACAAGTGTGAGAAAGTTCAAGCCTAAGGGTGATTTCAAAAAACAATGTAGAATTTGATTCTAAGCAATAGAGAAGACTAGTTGCTCATTAAGAGTAATAAGCTAAACCAAAGAGTAGCTGAAAGTTTTAATAGAACCAGGTTTTAATAGAACCAAGGTAGGAGTCTTCCTAGTGTTGGAACAAGTCTCAAAGACTTGACTCAAAGATTACCTGAAGAGGGGCCTGAATTTAATTGGATGAGACTGTGATGCAATTTATAGGATATTGTACCAAAGAGTACAGAAATCAGTTGGAATCATTGGAGGCAGAAGCATAACAGATTAAGAGACAGTCAATGAGTCACCTGCTAAAACACCATCTTCCCTGTGATAGTGCACCTGCCCAATTCCTCTCTGAGGATTATGAGAGGCTGCATACTATGGAGATAATAGATTTCACTGAAATAGTCCATCCAGGAAACTAAATAAATAAACAAAAATAAGAGAGAATAATGTATCAGTATCTAGAGTTCTCACAACATATTATCTAAAAATATCCATTTTCAACAAAAATTAATGAGACAGGCAAAGCAATAAGAAAGTATTAGTCATCCACAAGAAAAAACAGATAATAGAAATTACCTTTGAAAGGACACATATGTTGGATCTAGGAGACAAAGATTTCAAAATACTCATAAAATATTTACAAATCTGAAGAAAACCATGCTTGAGGAAAAATCAATAGACCAACAGAGATTCAATCTCAAGGACAGAGAAAAAATCATTTAAAAAATGAATAGAAGACTGGGGTTGTGACACAGTGGTAGAGCACTTGCCTTGCATGTGTGAAGCACTGGGTTCCATTCTCAGCATCGCATAAAAATAAATAAAATAAAGGTCCAACAACAACTAAAATAATTTTTTTTAAAAATGAATAGAACCTCAGAGAAGTGTAGAACATGGAAAAACCATGAAGTAAGCTTTACCAATTTTGTAGGCATCCCTCAGTACTGTCAGGTCAACAAGCAAAATTAGCTATTAAAACTGTAAAACACTATATTAGTCTGCCATAACAGAATCCCACAGAATAAGTGGCATAAGCAACAAGAACTTATTTCCTCTCAGTTTTGGAGTTTCAAAGTCCAAGTTCAAGGATGGCAGAGTTGGATTCTGGTAAGACCTCTCTTCTTGGGTTGCAGATGACTGCCTTCTCGCTATGTCCTCACATGGCCTTTTCTCTCAGTCTAGTCCCATACTGGGAATTGAACTCAGTGGTGCTCTATCACTGAGCTACATTTCCTGTCCTTTTTCTTTTTCTTTTGTTTTTTCAATTTTGAGACATGGTCTCACTAGCTTGCTAAGGCTGGCCTCAATATTGCAATCCTTCAGTCTCAAAATCCTGAGTTGCTAGGATTATGTGCCCCCACATAGGATTTTCTGTGTGAGCATTCCTGGTGTCTTCCTCTTCTTATAATGATACAGGTCATATTAGATTAGGACAATACACCAAAATGGCCATATTTATCTCTTTAAATACCCTACTGCCAAATACAGTCACATTGTCACTTAGGGCTCAATATATGATTTGTGAGGGGGTGACATAATTCAGTCCATGATAAACACTTAAAGAAAATATAGGAGTAAATCTTTCTGATCTTGAGTTAGACAAAGTTCTCATAGATATGACACAAAAGCATAAATAGTTAAACTAAAGAAAAAAATTGATAAATTGGTATTTGTTGAAGTTAAGAACTTTTTATGCTTCAAAGGACTCCTTCAGGAAGTAAAAAAAAATAATCCATGACAGGAGAAAATAATTACAAATATATCTGATAAGGTACTTATATCTAGAAAAAAGAACTTGACAACTATTAAAAAGATTAATAACCTAATTCAAAATGGCCAAGATATCTGAATTGACATTTCTCCAAAGAAGATTTTCAAATAACCAATAAATACACAAAAAGACACTGAACATCATTAGTCATTAGAAAAATGCAGATTGATACTACAATGAGATACTACTGCACACCCACTAGAATTACTGTGGCCAAAAACACAGATAATATCAAGTGTTGCTGGGGGTACACAGAAGTGGGAGCCCTCATACACTGCT